TTATTTTTTATGAATGAAAACTTAACATATGTATTTGTATTGAATTACTCTCTAAATTTATATATGGCATGCAGCACTAAAACCCAAGCACACATTGCGCAGCTATTTTGTTCCAAATCTTTTTAGGTAGACCCCTATTATTGTCAAAAAACTAGAAACTGAGTTTTGCTCATTGGGTTTTTATGCCCAAGGACTTACTCGAAGGTAAATGTAAACTTCGATTAAAAAAAACAACAACAACAAAAAAAAAACAAGCACTAATACAGAGAACATTTTATGTTACAGAAAAGTAACAAGTTAATGAAGTTAATGGTGGTAGTTGCTCCATTAGTGGCATTGTCTGAAAAATGTATAAACATCCATATCCAGTGTTGAAGTTAAGGCTTGGTTGGAAAGACATGAGGTTACAATTATTCAGCTAGAAATGCAAAGAGGAGAGAAATAAAGTGAAAATTTACTGACATGAAGCCAACAAATAGATTTTTGCAAATACAAATTCAGAACTATTTTGCCATTCTGATTTGTTTCATTTATTTACTGAGCATCTTTATATTGTTTTTTTCCTTCTTTCATTCTTTCTTTTTTGACATTTACTTTCAAAAGTTTACCAAGACTACCAAGTTTCTAAAGTCTTTGATATTGGATAAAATAAATAATGTTTCACTTAAAGTTTTGTGTGATGCCGACATTGTCTGATTTTCTTTTTAGGTTTTAACTCTTACAAAGCACCTGGCTGTATCCTTTTCTGTAGGACTGCTGCTATTACAACACAATATTATAGTGCAATTAAAAACACTATTTTGGTTAATGTTCCTAAAGTGAACTTAGTCATTCATATATCCCTTTATTTAAATGATTATAATCACCTTCATCTTCCACTTAATTCAGCCTCAGCTTGTCTTAGGGACCAATGTGGGTCTTATCAGTGACATGCAGCACTAAAACCCACACAATACCCATAATGCAGTTCTTCAGTGCTAATACAGTCTCCTGGAGTAGCATTTCTTCTTGACTTATAAAATATTTCTGCTCTAAACAGAGGGGCTAAATCCTTGTGAGGTCTCTGGTTGCTTTGTTCAGCCTCTAGGCGTTGGTATGTACAGGAATTGGATACCTCAGTGTGTTTGACTCAGTGGTGCTGGAAAGCCCTGGTTGCTACCATGTTGTTGGAGACAGACAGACAGGTATTCAACTCTAAGCACTGGGTATCAGCTTATCAAGAGGAGCATTGCTGGCATTTGTTGCAATTGTTGTGTGCCATGTGTTGCAGCTGCCTTTGTTCCCTTTATAACATCTGGTAGAAACGTTCACCCTTTAGGCTGACCTCAATTTTCACTACTTAGAACAATGTTGCTCAATTCCACAAGATCAAAACTGCATCCATTTGTTATTTTAAGTCTTTGTTTACCTATATGCGGTTTAAAGTGAATCAGTTTCTTTGATCCAACATGAATTATGAATGAAGGCAAGCTGCTTAACTGCTTCGTTTCTAATGCCTGACATAAAAGCTCCACCCTGGAAACCTTTTGTCAGCAGACACGTAGCTCCAGTTTCTCACATGATGATTCAGAGATTCAGGTACAGACAAAAAATAAAATACTGGCCTGGAAGAATAGGTCAATATTTTATCACCTAAATACTGGCACATTTCATTTGCCAGTCAATTTAATGTATAGATGAGAACATTTAAAAATCAAGAACATCTATGTATATTTCTCAGATTAATATATATTCATCATTGGAAATAACTACACAGTAGTCAATAATTATACAGAAAAAACCCAGAACCTAATGATTGATGTATTTGTGAATGAATAATGACATTAATGCCAATTTTCTCATGATCCAATGGTTTAAAAAGGCATACAATTATAAAAATGCAACAGCAACGGGGAGAAGGGGAAAGTTTTCTAAATAATAAATTAAGTGTTTAAAATATGTTTTCAGCTGATAACAGGTTAAACTTTTTTTAAAGTATCTTAAAGCCTCTACTATTCTTTTTTTCTAGTTAGTAAGTTAGCAAAGCTTTTCATCTCACATCTATGATGGTGTCTGTCCACCAACATCTTCTCTAATTGTTCTTTATTTATTTTTTTATTTGTTAATTTTATGATCAAAAGTTTTCCTTACAATTTTTCCGAAACAGGAATTCTATCCCTCTATTTACACTCAAATTAACTTTCACTAATATTCTAATTGATGGGTTTTAAAGGTCCTTCCATTGCATTTTCTGTTAGATCAAGATTATTAAAGTTTTTATATCTAAGTAACTTGCAGTATATAGCAGAGTTAAGTATGTGGATCATGCTCATGTTCAAATTCACTCTAAGCAATATTATACACCTTATTCTGCTTCTGATCAGTGTGGTGTTGTTGGTCACTCTGACACAGTCGAGCTGATCCCACAAGTGTTCAGTGAATTGAGGTGAGGACTGCAGGCGGGTCGATCTATCCTCTCCAGTCCAGTCCTTGTAAAATCTCTGCTCTGTGATGTTGAGCATTAACGGAGAACATAGTTTTTTCCCCAAGACAAGGTTATATGGGTTTGCCTCTATTGGAACAATCTGTCTTGAAATCGTCGGCTGCATTTACATTACCTCCACTGATGACAAGCCATGTTCATGCTATCACATGCACTCTCCCACCAAGCAGCTGCTGCTCATGGGATTTGGCAAGTTTTTTATTGTAAGCCCCCAAAATGCTTCTTACAAAAGTGGCAACATGTAAATAAAAATAAACAGGCCTTTCAATAGTATCAGATATATTTATCCAAGCAAACCTCTCCCTACTTTTTGTTAAAAGTTTATCTATATTTGATTAGTTCTATATATAGTGAATATAAATATTTCATAGATTACATAGATAATTCATTTCTCTTTTTTTTTCGTGCTGAGAAACATGTTTGTTCATAAAATATGAACCTGGTCAGATTAATGAGCGAGTGTCTTCTAATTAGACTTAAATAATCAATTTTCCCAGGTTTTCCAGGTTTCCTAAGTGCATCAATAAGTGCTACATTTTTTTCTGTTTTCAGAAAAGGGTTTTATCTCTCATGAGTGAATTTCCAAAGCTCTCTGATGTCCAGTCAAGGTTTTAGTCAAACAGGAGGATGAGTGAAAATAATGGGTAATTAGAAGGGTTTACAAAGTGAAGAAATTTCTTATCTACTGTCTAAAACATAGAATCAAATATTTTTAAAACTAATAAAACTGACTTTTTCATCACTAAACCTGTAATTTTTACTGATTTATAACTGACTCTTGTGCTGCTGTTATATACTGATACAAACTTTGGATTAGGAATTACTATGACCTGATGGCTGTCCCCTTGTTCAACAAGACAATGTGCCCTAATTCAAAAGAAAAATGGTTCAGAAAGGATTTGGAAAAACAGCAAATGTCATGTGTTGATTTGGTCTCAGAATTGCTCAGATCTCAATTCATCAAGAAACTGTGGGCTGTACTTGACAAACATGTTTAAAAATAAAGTATTCACACAAACTTCATGTCCAGTCCTCACACGGTTACAATACTACACTGAATAACAGATATTAGCAAACAAATATCACATGTTTACTATATTTTCATAGGAGAAATGAGTCTGGTAAATATCTATACCAGACACTTTAAAGGATTAAGTTTCTCGTTCACTAAAGTCTGAGCAACTGTGTCACCACTTCTGCCATGATACCTCTAGAGGGCAGCATTTCTTTGCTCTTTCTCACTTCATCCCTTAGCATTTAGGTAAACCTATAAAACAATGTTCACTTATGTTAAGTTTTTGCCTTCAGTCAAACTCCTAAGCAAAGTGACTGTGACAGTGTGCTCAGGATATCTGCTCCTCCTTATTAAAGTAGTTTTGCACTCTCACTAAACCAGGGCAGGATTTGAAGGTGCACCTCCCAACGGCAGGTTGTTCTCTGATGCCAGGGCAGTCCTGTTGGATAAGCTCCAGGTCCCACAGTGCTCTCTTGCTAATTACACGCTGGTAAGTACAGTGCAAGCCTGTAGGACTCCTCAGCTGTGTTCCTGTGGGCATGCTGCTAATAAACAACACATAGGCACTCACTCCTCTCTAACAATAACAACAACTGCACTGTACATAGCCGTGGCCACCTGCACCAGAACCGCATTCCTTGCTAGGTCCCATCTGTCTCTCAATGATTGCCCTGGTTCCTGCAAAGTGGAGCTGTGGAGTGTTACACAGTACCACTAAATCAAAGCAAGACTAATGACTACAGCAGAGCTGAAGCTACACAGAACCGAGGCTCAGTGTTCCTGCTCACAACGCAGAGCTGAAGTTAACCACAAGTTGACTACAGATGGTGTAAATCAGATGAAAAGGATGCACTCATGCTAACTACAATCTACATGCATTATTATCCCATGAGTTTAACAACCTTATGATCAAGCATTATATTCTCTTCTTCAATGTTTTTTCCTGACACAAAAAAATATTTTTAAGAATAAGAATATTTATATTTCTCCAGTTCTTTCCAGCTGTGCCTTGTAGCTGGATGAACCACAAGTTCAAGTAAAGGAATCTTCAACAATCTTTTTACAATAGCATCTTTTATTCCACCTTCTTTTTGTCTCCTCCTCTTTCTTTTCCTTCTCTCTCATTCTCTAATAAAAACTGCTATTAATAGAACACCCTGCTCTTTCTTTTAAACTGCAGGGAGCGTATAGCATGCACTTAAAGGGAGGAAGAATCTGAAGATACCAGGAGGCATTTGAAAATGTCCTCTACAATGCCTGTGGCTACAAAGACGCTGACTACCCTAAAAATAACAACAAATGGAGCTTTGATAGATTTGTGGCATTTTGTATCAGCAAATACGCCCGTGGGCTAATTTTAGATAGTCAAATCATTCGCAGACCAAATACCTCACAGACATTGGAATGTGATGGAAGAAAGGATGGCGAAACGTTGTAAAAACACCTCTGTATCTGTCTATGCAAGCTGCAAAACCATACACACAATAAACACACCAAACACAGTTTCAGTTGAATAATTATTGGCTTCATTATTGATATTACTTTTTCAGGGTTATGAGTATTTGGAAGTATACGCATTTCTTATTTTACATGTTTTCTTGTCCATAGATTGTCCTTTTTGTTGTAAAGTGCAGGTAATACTACTTTTGAATCCAAACATTACATACAATATGTAGTACATGTGTTTCTTCTCCATTCTTCTTTATGAATATTTACAATATTGTTCCACATTTCATTTCACAGAAAGAAAAATCATTATCCACTGTATCAGCATTGTCGGATGTTTTAGGCTTCTGTACAGCAGAGCAGAAGTGAAGTGAATAGCTGTACAAGTTGTTTTAATGGATGCCACACTATCAGGCTCTGGGTGTAAAAGAGAAAGAAAGACACTGATTCTTAAACACACACTTGCACACAGTTTGCATATTGATCATTTTGTGTCTTATATTGTTGAGATATCTGGGGGCCTGCTGCAGAGGGCTGACATGGCAGTTCAAACAAACCAAAACTCAGGGAGTTAATATTTCTTCTTTAGCTAACAAGCATAGGGTTTTCTTTCAACAGCTTTTTAAACCATCATGAAACTAGTGGCAGATAAAACATTAAAGGAAATCTGAACTCAAACGTTCTATTTCCTTGAAAGCGGCCAGCTAAAAATCAACCTCTGCATAGATCTCTCAACGTATTCACTGTCAGACACTCCGCTCATGGAGTGGGATTTGCTGGTGGGTCCCTCTGTGGGTAGGAACTTATATTCTTAAAGTCAGCTCCATTTGTGCTTTAAGAAGAAACAGTAGTGGATGTTCAGTTACCATGTTGTGGTCTCCAGTGCATGAGTTGCTACAGTGAGTTAGACTAAAACACAGTAACACACCTATTACATTAAAGATAAATGTTAAGATGCTAACATTTATCATAAGAGCCAAACACAAAACAAATGAAGACAGAAAAATATGATGCATTTGCATGCATAGACAAATATTTTTGGTCAGACTGTGAGTTTTTCCACAAAGACAAAGATATCCGGTTGCATAAATGCAGCTGTAGAACCAGACTATGATGCTGACATTCAGAGGTTCTTCTCTCTCCCTGTGACATGGGTACATTACTGCTCTCTGTGCATTAGCACGTCCACATTGGTATGCAGGAGAAAAAATCATAACTGGATGAAAGAGCTTTATGAAAATAAGTAGTTAAACAGTCATGCATATTTTCACAAAGAGTGGTCCACATATGTAGAATGGGTGTATTGCTAAAAAAAAAAGCTACTTAAGTTATTCTACCTTGAGATAGTAGTAATTTAACATCTCAATTTACCTTAGACTACCCAGGAAATTACTTACGTAAAAAAGTTTCTAAAAACCCACAGTTTGGACAGAGAGACGACTTAGGAAGCCTCATGTCAGGCAGTTGGACGATGCATCCTGAGCACATACTGGCAGCGATGACACTGGAATATTTTGCCACTCTAGATTGAGACTGTAATATCTAAAAGGAAACCCTTGCATTCACAAAATTCATCAACACAATTCTTGCTACACACCTTCTCTTAAGCAACAACCTTTTGTAACTGTATTGGACATCTGTGAGAAAAAGCAGAGCCAAGAGACACAAGGGCAAAGTCAGACCATATGTAGGTCAGACGATGTCTGCTACACTGCTGCTAATTATCACCTTCCATATTAATGTTACTGCCTTTGATCGTTACCTTGGCAGTGTTGAGCGAACTGTGGAAAGTTTTAGCTGTATGCAATCTGAGAACTTAATTCACGTCTAATGCCAACTTTCAAAGATATATTGAGCTTCTGGCATCAGAGTTTTCTGAGGAGACAGTGGGACATCACTGACATTATATCAGTCCAATGTTCATAAAATGTTTAGGGTAAAAATGTAAGCTTATTGTTTACAGCTGAAAGTTCAACCTACTGGTAAATACCTACTTTATAGAGGGCAGTTTAAAAACAAAGCATTCTAAAATTATGGTTAAGATACAGGTCATATGTCAATTTTCCTAAGAACTACTTTGACTAGAAAACTTACGAAGATGCCTAGCGAGAGTGAGTCTTTGGCACTCTGAAAGGAACGATTAATATTGTTAGAAATAGCCAAGATGGAAAAGCTCATGCTTATTTTTGAGGGCTTAAGATCTCTGATAAAAGCGTATGTATGCTGTATTATGTGATCTGGCTATAAAGATATATTGTTTTACATTTAAGAAAGAAATATATCTATTGCAATATTTTATTTTAGTCTCTTAGAGGCCTCCTGTTTTCGCTTACATGCATGCTAGAAATGTTTTAGTCATGCAACACTAGGTGAAAAGCGTAAACCCAGACAAAAGGCAGTTAAAGCATTTTTCCAACACACATTTCCCTACAAGTTGCTATTTTGATAACAAGGACACAATTAGATGAATCTGTGAAACAGACACAATTGCAAAACTTTGATCACTGAGGCTGAGATCAACATCCAAAAGCAGGGTATGAGTTTACGTTTACCTACCCACAGCTCAGATTACAGCAACCTGGCAAAATGGCAATGTCTTCTGGATGGAATGTAAATATTGATAAGCATCTTTTTACATGTAGAAAATGACCTTATTATTAATAAGTCAAAAGTTCTCAAACTTACAGTTCTAGGTTAATAGCTATCTGCAGGCATCCTTTTAAAAGTGTGGATTTCTACAGAAGGCAGTGTACAGACAAATATACAGTGACCAGGTGAAGCAAGTGGCAGTTGAAAACCAAGTGGAACTTCTCATTGAGATAAAAATATCATGCAGTAATCTACTGACTATGTTTTCTTCCTACCTATCTATTGGATATCAGCTAAGTCACAGTTAAGTTACCTATCTATATGGATAAGCTCTGTAAAAGTGAAACAGTGAAATACTAAACAGGAAGAAACATTCAAGATGTCTCAAAGCTCTGCAGTAAGACAAGTTTGGGTGAATGGAGGTGGGGAAGCTTGCATTGCAATACATAGAGTACATATAAGACCAAAGCAGTGAAAATTCAAGGCCATTGTCAGTCATTCATCAGATACTGATGTCTACTAGAGGAAAGGGTGTCAAACCATAAGCTAAAAGCTGATGGCTATCATACATCCTTCAAATAACATGGTGTACTTAACCACCAGCATCGTTGCAAATCATCCACGGGCCATTTGGAGTGGGCTTGATTAATGCTCACACATCCCCCTTTTTTTCTAAATGTTAAAGCATATGGCAGTTTTATTTCTTTGCTCCAAGAAGTAGCATATGTAAAACACAACAGACTCTTCAGAAAGCCCGACAGAGCTGTGTGCCATGTGAAATGACAGCTAAAGGGACACCGGTCAATAGCGGGGAGTTTGCTTTTTTTCAGTTTCTTGTCATTGTGTGGAACTGTTGGCTACAGTGGTGAGAAGGACAGTTTTAGGTTTTGTCAATTTTTTGGAGTAGCTGATCACACAAAGACAACTCCATGCAGAAATTCAAATCTTAGAACTGCAGAAATTGTTTTAGGAGTTTTAAAGGGAACATAATGAAAAGTGAAGACTTGATCGGTGCAAAGGAAAGACATGGCATTTGGAATATTTTTCACTCAATCGTCATTGACATTCTGTTTTCTATTGCCTTGATTTTTCTATCACATTTGTTGTAGTAGGGTGCATTTCTGTCCCATCTGGCAGTACAGTTTTATTTTTTCCCACTGTGATGGGGAGAAACATATGCAGGTTACACATCTGTGAGCATCTTGGTGATGTTTACATAGTTTGTGTTGGCGAGTGTGCAGTTGGCTGTTTTAAGGTTCTCCTCCTGAAAGTCTTCATTGCTGTTGTTCACAGCCTCCTGAATCTCCATGTAGTCAGATTTGCTGATGGTGGAGCCACTCCGACTCTTCTTTAGCTCCTCGCCTGAATCAGCTTTGGGTACATTAACCTGCAGATACTGAGCCTGCTCTTCGCCTTCAGTCTCGCGGTGATAGAAGTAGTTGAAGTTGGACACAATGACAGGCACTGGCAATGCAATGGTCAGCACACCTGCAATGGCACAGAGGGAGCCCACTATCTTGCCTCCAATTGTAGTCGGAACCATATCGCCATAGCCGACTGTTGTCATTGACACCACAGCCCACCAAAATGCATCCGGGATGCTCTCAAACTGTGACTCAGGCTCATCTGCTTCAGCAAAATAAACTGCACTGGAAAACAGGATGACCCCTATGAAGAGGAAGAAAATGAGGAGGCCGAGCTCTCTCATACTGGCTTTAAGGGTTTGACCTAAAATCTGAAGCCCCTTGGAGTGACGGGACAACTTGAAGATCCTGAAGACTCGTACCAAGCGGATAACCCTGAGAATGGCTAAAGACATGGCTTGCTGACCTGGCTGACCATCCTCTGCTCTATCTGCCAACTCGGTGCCAAGAGTGATAAAGTAAGGAATGATGGCAACAATATCAATAATGTTCATTATGTTACCAAAAAAGCCTGCTTTGCTTGGGCAGGCAAAGAAACGCACTAAAAACTCAAAGGAGAACCATATAATGCAGAGAGTTTCTAGAACAAAGAAGGGGTCAGTGAAGTAGGTGGATGTGTAGCTGATTATTGTAGAGTTAGTCTCAGGTGAAAAAATTTGAGCATGGGACTTATGCATTTCATCCTCATCATTGCGGAATATTGGGAGAGTCTCCAAACAGAAACTGACAATAGATATCAGGATGACCATGACAGAAATTATGGCAATAATCCTAGCAGGACCTGAGCTTTCTGGGTACTCAAAGAGAAGCCACACCTGTCTTTGGAACTCGTTGTCAGGAAGAGGACGTTCCTCCTCCTTGATGAAACCTTCATCTTCTCTGAACATCTCAATGGCCTCCTCCCCAAGCTCATAAAAGCGAATCTCTTCTGAAAAAATATCAAGAGTGACATTGACCGGCCTTCTCAATCGACCTCCTGATTGGTAATAATACAATATAGCATCAAAGCTCGGTCTGTTTCTGTCAAAAAAGTACTCGTTCCTTAGTGGGTCAAAGTAGCGCATCCTCTTTTTGGGATCCCCCAGCAGAGTTTCGGGGAACTGAGAGAGGGTTTTGAGTTGTGTCTCAAAGCGCAGCCCTGAGATGTTAATGACCACCCTCTCACAGCATTCATGGTCAGCCTCTGGGTCGTAGTCCAGGGGGTGCCCTGGATGTGCAGCTGCTTCGTCAGAGGGGTCGCCTGTGGCAACAGTCATTCTGCAGGACGAGGTGGCCTGCACCTTTCAGGATGTCTGGGTCCTGCAGCCTGGAGAACTGCAGGTGGGGGCCAGGAGAGGGTAGGGACTCAACAGAGTGAAGACCTGAAGGCCACAGGATGTCACCTAGGATCTGACTGGCGGTAGGACAAACAGAGAAAAGTGGCAAGGTCAGAGAAACCTGAGAAATGATTCAGCATTTAATAAATCCTTCTGCTTAGCTCAGAGAAATCAAAAACTTTTTTCAGCTTGAAGATCAAATAGAAAATGGAAAATAATTCTAACAGTCTCACTGATTAACATTCAAAAAAGCAGCTCGCTTTACATGTATATAACATCAATGCAGATAAAACCATGGGCTAAAATAATTTTTAAAAACTTGCAAAGCTCCCAAATCAAGACGCATTTGCTGCAACATCTATATCTGTTGAACTGAATTGCTACATGTAATGGTAATGCAGCAGACACTAAATCCAGACTTCACCCTTCCTCAGATATCTTCCGTCTAAACATAAAAAATATGTTTAAATGTATTGTGCCATCAGAAGACAAAAAGAGATTAAAGGAAAAGATTTGCAGCTGGTTATATGATCTGACTTTTGTTTTTGGTGGAACATTTTTGTCTTGAAATGGTGCCCGATACTGAAATATTCAAAAACATCTATAAATAATTTACCCACAAAAGGAAATTGGCTCTCAGAGAGAAAAAAAAATGCATCTATATCTGCATTCCTACCTCTCTCAGGTGAAGGCATGGTTTTGCAAAATAATGTCATGCAACAAAAATTACAGGTGTGGTAATAATGCCTTGGGAGGTGCAAATCCAAACATGAATTACAGTGCGATAAGATTTATGCTCAGAATCGAGGAGACGGATGAAAGCCGCTTTATCTTGATCTCATACATACCTACAGACATCTTTTTCGTCTCAGGGTGAGGCTGGATGCTCCCGCTGGTGACAGGGAGGTAGATATCTATAATCAGCTGCGGCAAACGGGTCTTCTGTCTCCAGTGCAGGTGGGGGGGGAAATGAATTTCCGATTCGGGACAGTCGATGATATTCACCTCATGTTGTCTGCAGCATCCTTGCCGTGTACACCGCGTACAGTATGCGCGGGTGTGTCCTCGGCTTCCCCTCCCCGACTCTTCTCCTCCGGGTAGCGAGTCGCCGGGTGGCGATTGGCAAAATAAGGGCGGAGGGAGACGTCCAAGGAGGTGTCGGTGCTTCCCTTATTAGCCGAAGGTGCTGGGATCAGCAGAATGATCTTTGTTCCACTGCTTTCCTCCGCACCGGAGCGACTCTGTGACGAGCCGGTGGCTGCGGAGGTAGCGTCTGTCTCTAGCAGACACCTAGAGATAACGTCCTCAGAAAATAGGTGGATGCGTGTTCTAAGTGTTGATCTTCTTCAAATGGGAAGCATCAGCAACAAGTCTTTTTTTTTTCTTGCGTCACCCACATAAATATGTTGTTTTCTTTTTGGGGCAGTTTTGCGCCACATATGCCATCATTTCCATAAGATTCTCTGTAGTTGAAGCTCCAACGCTCGGAGAAAGGAGACGCTGCTGAGAGCCTCCTTTTAGTCTACATGGTGGGCAGAGCGGCGTCTTCAGACACTGACTTGAATCGACATGCATGAAAGTCATAGTGGGTTTGAAGATTATGCAATTTCACTAAGCCAGCGCCCCATGCGCACACATGAAGCGACCCCTAACGCTTAAGCACATGTCAGCACGGTGGGAGGTGAAATTTTTATTAAGTGATGGAAACAGTTGTGGGTGAAATATCCCTCTAGCCCGGCTTGGGCGTTGAGTTATTTACTGGTTACTGTATGAAGCTCCGTCCAACCTGCAGTCGGGCACTGCTCTGCATACCAAAATAGGTGCTGGTGATGGAGCAGGGAAGAGGCGCACTATAGCAACACCACCCTTTCTGCAGTAGACATGAGGCGCTTATGTTGGTCACTGAAGCCTAAAAAAAAGCATAATTTTAAACACAGTTTTCTTGAACCAAGACTATTAACACAGACATGTTCTGATTGGAAGACAGACCCAATGTAAATTTGAAACTTTTATCACGTTTCCTTGTGTGCTCTGAGGTAACAACTTCCAATTCTTCATCTACTTGTTCATAACAGTGAATGTTGTAATCTTTCCCGGCAACAAACTCCATAAATAATGAATGGGAGGGGGGGACAAAAATAGAGCAAATCCTCCATCAGTGCATCTGGCTATATTCCAAAAGAAGAAATGAATTTATTACACTGCCAATGCTTCCATCACAGTTGATGCTTGCATAGAGAAGGTATACACACTGTCCTGAAATGACCACAGAGGTCAATGGGAATCCCTCAGAGAAGAAGGATGGGGGATGGGAGAGGCAGCATGATGATTTGTGCAAGCCTTTCCAATGTTACACTTGGCAGACTTGAGACCATCCTGGGTGCCAACCTTGCCACAGTGTCCATCTGGTCTGCTGCTACCACAGAAGCAGATTCTTTTTAGAATCTCTTAATCACTTTTCTTGGTTCTTGATAACAGGGCAATCATTATTTATTAGCCTGGGACCTGTTACAGTGGGCTCTAACCCAGCTTGTGCTGCATTAGGTGGCTGTTTGGAATTAAAATCAAATTCTTGCTGCATTCAAAATCTTTTAGGTACTTAATCACACATAGATGTAAAAACATTTGGCAATGTGAGATGGACATTAGAACTGTCAAAAATACATTTGCTTCCAGGATTTATTTATATTTGTTTTTAAAAAGACATAGACTGTGTATTCAATTGTGAGTTTTTTGTAAATATTTAAATACTATTCTATGATTTTTTTTTCTATGGTTGTTTGTCCTGTTTGTCTGTGTTGCCCTGTGACAGACTGGCGACCTGTCCAGGGTGTACCCTGCCTCTCGCTCGGAGCGCTAGCTGGAGTTAGCCACCAGAACCTCCCGACGCCACTAGGGACAAGGGTGTAAGAGAATGGATGAATGAATGGATGGATGCTTGTGCTGTACTCGCTGCACAATTTAACATGTTTATCGAAAATATGGTTCTGGTTATGACAGAGAATATATATATATATATATATATATATATATATATATATATATATATATATATATATATATATATATTATATATATATATACATGCAAAGACTGGGGAAGGAATGGTCAGCTGACTGGATAGCTCAATACATAAGGCATCAGTATATCACCCGAGAGGGCAGGGTTCGAATCCAGTCTGGGTCCTTAGGCAAGACCCTTCAAGCTACTGCCTACCTCATACCATGAGAGATACTAGACGGAAATGGGCGAGAGATGAAATGTGGTCTGCGCCAAACAAGGTCTGCGTCAGGTGTTGGGGAACCAGAGCACCTTGATGACAAATGGGCTACTGGAACAAGACGGAAATGGGCGAGAGATGAAAATGTGGATCTGTTGGAATGCTACTACTCAAGTAACCCTAGTGAGAGAGGTTACATGCAAAGACTGGGGAAGGAATGGTTACTTCGACATCCCCATTCAACACTAAGCGCTAAACAACTAGTAGCTCAGTGTTCCAACATCCGCAAACGGCAACTGCTATCACAACTTGAGATTGACGAGATACAACACAAATGCTACGGCAAAAGGGAGGAACCCGGATGTCAGGACTGTGGGACTTAACTACAAGTCCCCACCCAGTGAGGGGATACACGGCCCCAATGAGCGAAACAGAGCTGAACGAGACAGCTGCTGACCTGAGAGAGAGAATCATGACCCGAATGACAACCAGGCCTCCTCGGCGCCAATTACAACGGCTGAGTGAAGTACCATCAGAAAGTCTCATTGAGAATGTGAATGCAGCATTGAGAACGATCCCTACCAACACCATAACAGAAACCAATGAGCTGATCTACAACTCAGCATCAGTGATCCTTGAGATACTTGGCTATAAGAGCAACCATGAGACCCAATACCCACCATGGAAAAGACGGTTAGAGGCTAAAATCAAGGTAACAAGGAGGGAAGTGAGCCAACTGTCAGAGCTCCACAAGGGTACAATGAAAAGACCAGTACCCAGAAAGTACAGCCAGATGCCCATACCTGAAGCACTCGAGACTGCCAAACAGAGGCTCCAAGCCTTGGCCAGCCGCCTAAAGAGATACACAAGGGAGAATGAATCCAGAAGGATTAACCGGCTCTTCTCCACTCAACCAGCTAAGGTGTACTCTCAATGGCAGGGTAATAACAACAGAGCAGACCCACCAAGGCTGGAGACTGAACAATACTGGAAAGGCATATGGGAAAGGGAGGCGTCCCACAACAGCAATGCACAGTGGCTGATCTCTCTACGAGAGGACCACAGCAACCTCCCTGAGCAAGCCCCGGTAACCATCACTGTGACAGATGTTCAAGAAAGAGTCTCAGGTATGAAAAACTGGACAGCACCAGGGCCTGACATGATCCATGCCTACTGGCTAAAGAAACTCACTGCTCTCCATGAGCGACTGGCAGCCCAAATGAACCAGCTGCTACAAAGTGGGACTCACCCTGAATGGTTAACTGAAGGGCGGACAATCCTAATCCAGAAGGATCCATCAAAGGGTCCAGTCCCACCCAACTACCGACCAATAACCTGCCTCTCCACAACCTGGAAGCTCATGTCAGGCATCATAGTGGCCAAGATAAGCAAACACATGGATAAACACATGAGCACGGCACAGAAGGGTATCGGTGTAAATACCAGAGGAGCCAAACACCAACTCCTTGTAGACCGCACAGTTGCCCGAGACTGCAAAACCCGACACACCAACCTGTGCATGGCTTGGATCGATTACAAGAAAGCCTATGACTCAATGCCGCATACTTGGATCATTGAATGCCTAGAGATGTATAACATCAACAGGATTCTGAGAGCCTTCATTGCAAACTCGATGAGGCTGTGGAAAACCACCCTTGAAGCCAACTGCAAACCACTTGCACAAGTGTCCATCAAATGTGGCATATACCAAGGAGATGCTCTGTCCCCGCTACTGTTCTGCATAGGCCTGAACCCCCTCAGCCAAATTATCAACAAGACTGGCTACGGATACCGACTCAAAAATGGGGCCAACATCAGTCACCTCCTCTACATGGATGACATCAAGCTGTATGCCAAGAGTGAGCGAGACATCGACTCACTGATCCACACCACCAGGATCTACAGCACTGACATTGGAATGTCATTCGGACTAGAGAAATGTGGTCGGCTGATCACAAAGAGGGGGAAGGTGATCCACACAGAAGGAGTCTCACTCCCACAAGGAACAATAGCAGACATAGAGGACAGTTACAAGTACCTAGGTATACCACAAGCAAATGGCAACCTCGATGAGGCCACAAGGAAAGGAGCCACAGCTAAATACCTCCAACGAATAAGGCAAGTCCTGAGAAGCCAGCTCAATGGCAAGAACAAAATCCGTGCGATAAACAGCTATGCCCTGCCAGTAATCAGATACCCTGCTGGAATAATCAGCTGGCCAAAGGAGGAGATGAAAGCCACAGATATTAAGACTAGAAAGCTACTAACCATGCATGGAGGGTTCCATCCCAAATCCAGCACCCTGAGACTGTACACGAGCCGCAAGGACGGAGGCAGAGGACTAGTGAGTGAACCACTGTCCAGGACGAAACAACTAAGATCCATAAATACATCAGGGACAAAGCCTCAACAGACAATGTGCTCAGTGAATGTCTCAGACAACAGGGAACGGAGGTTGAGGTGCCAGAGATACCATCATGGGAGGACAAGCCCCTACATGGGATGTACCACCAGCAAATAACCCAAGTGGCTGATATCAGTAAATCCTACCAATGGCTGGAAAAAGCTGGACTCAAGGACAGCACAGAGGCCCTCATCCTGGCCGCCCAGGAACAGGCCCTAAACACCAGAGCAATAGAGGCCCAGATCTACCACACCAGACAAGACCCAAGGTGTAGGTTGTGCAAGGAGGCCCCTGAGACAGTCCAGCACATCACAGCAGGGTGCAAGATACTGGCAGGGAAAGCGTACATGGAGCGACATAACCAAGTGGCAGGCATAGTGTACAGAAACATCTGTGCAGAATATGGACTGGAAACCCCGAGATCAAAGTGGGAAACACCCCCAAAGGTGGTGGAGAACGCCAGAGCTAAGATCCTGTGGGACTTCCAGATCCAGACAGACAAAATGGTAATGGCGAACCAACCAGACATTGTCGTAGTGGATAAACATCAGAGGAAAGCCGTTGTGGTAGATGTAGCAATACCAAGTGATTGCAACATCAGGAAAAAGGAGCACGAGAAACTGGAGAAATACCAGGGCCTCAGGGAAGAACTGGAGAGGGCCTGGAAGGTGAAGACCACAGTGGTGCCTGTGGTCATCGGGGCCCTCGGGCAGTAACCCCCAAACTGGAGCAGTGGCTACAACAGATCCCAGGAACAACATCAGACATCTCAGTCCAGAAATGTGCAGTCCTTGGCACAGCCAAGATACTGCGCAGAACCCTCAAGCTCCCAGGCCTCTGGTAGAGGACCCGAGCTCAGAGGATAAGAACCACCCGCGGTGGGTGAGAAGGGAATT